GTTTTGCAAGCCAGGAGGTAAGAAAAATGCCCGCCGGGAAAAAGGGCGGATCATCGAGATATATAACTATAGCCGGAAGATATGTGGACGGCCATTAAAAATGCATGAAAGAACAGATAAAATGATATCCTCCTGGCAGGATCATAATTCTTAGACATGCGTAAAATCCGCTTTGAATCAAACTCACAGCTTCAATCACAGCTTACTCCTCCCCTGCCTCCTCTCCCTCTCCCCAAAATACTTCCGAACCCTCTCCCTCGCAACCTCCACAATCTCCCCATCCTCCACTGTCGGAGGCACATTCACCTTTGCATCAAACCGGCCCACCACCGCGTTCTCCACCAACTCCCTCAGCACCCGACGCAGCGTCTTGCCGCTCCGCGTCTTGGGAATCATCCCCTGGCCCTGGATGATGCCGCCCAGAGACGCGATGGCGCCGATCTGCTCGCGCACAAGGGCGTTTACGGAGGCGAAGAATTCGGGAGACGGGGTCGCGGGCAGGGGGGTGGATGGCGACGGCGGGGTGCGCAGGTGGACAAAGGCGAATGGCATGTGGCCTTTGAGGGAGTCGGGGATGCCGACGACACAGGCTTCGGCGATGGAGGGGTGGGAGAGGATGGATTGTTCGATGGCGCCTGGTAGGCACGTTAGATTGATGAACCTTTTTTTTATTTTTTTTTTTTATTTTTGCGAGACATACCTGTGCTGAAGCGGTGGGCGGCGACGTTGATAATGTCGTCGGATCGCGACATGACATGGATGTAACCGGACTCGTCAATCATTCCTGCATCTCCGGTGTCCATCCATTTCCCTCCAAATCGCTTCAAGTATCCTTTGTAAAAGCGTTCGTCATCCTGATACAAGGTGGTAAACGCCGTCGGCGCAAGGGGCAGACCAAGTACAATATTCCCCATCGTGCCCTTTGGCACTTCCTTTCCGTCGTCGTCAACAACGCGCACGTCGAAACCCGGCATGGCTTTACCAGCCGATCCAGGCTTGACCGGGAACGGCCGGTGTGCATCTCTGCTGTCATGGTCCAGGCCAATTGCGCTCCTCAGCGACAGGCCTGACATTGGCGAGCCGGATTCCGATGTCCACCAGTTATCAACCACCATCGAGCCAGGAGCACCGTGCTTATCTAGCAAATCTTGATAGGCACGGACGATGCTGGGTTCACTTCTCTCGCCGGCGAGGAAAATAGCTCTCAAGTGCCTTAGACCTTGGCGCGCGCCGACTTGCTCGAGCAACCGGGAATCAGGGTCATCTTTGCGGATTGCGCGTAGGGCGGTGGGTGCGGTGAAGAGGACATTGACTTTATGCTCTTCGACCAACCTCCAGAAAATACCGGCATCCGGGGTGCCGATAGGTTTCCCTTCGTAAAGGATTGTTGTTGCTCCCGCTAGAAGGGGCCCGTAGAGGATATATGAATGGCCAACAACCCATCCGACGTCCGAAGCGCAGAAGATAACGTCTCCTGGACCTTTGATATCGAACAGGTATTTGATCGATAGGTTAAGGCCAACCGCATGTCCACCAGCTTCTCGAACAACACCTTTTGGCAGGCCAGTTGTCCCTATCGAGCAAAGCTTAGCAAGATTTACCAATGAAGAGCCTTCAAAGAGCTGAGACATACCACTCGTATAGATGACATATAAACTGTCATTACTCTTCACCGGCACTGGCTTCGCTCTAATCCCCCTACTCCAAGCACTCTTGACGATCCTCTGCCAGTTCCGCTGGCCCTCCAGCTTCTGCATCGGCGCCCATCGCAGCTGGTCCCGTTGCCAGACTATCACCTTACTCGGCTTGAAGGAGCTCTTCGCAATGGCGCCTTCGACCAGCGGTTTATAGTCGATTACGCCTTTACTCCCTTCAACGCCGCATGACGCGGTCATGATGGCGCGGGGTCGTGCAGCCTCAATGCGCTGCGCGAGAGAAGCGGCGGCAAAGCCACCAAATACAGCAGCGTGGACTGCGCCCAGTCTTGCGACGGCAAGGGCGGCGTACAACGCTGCAGGGACCATGGGCACTGGATTCTTGCAATCAGCTTCGCCTATATTATATTTGTTAAACATATGCGAGGCGAGAAAGACATACTGTATATCAGAACAACATCCCCCTTCCTCACTCCCTCTTCTCTCAATGCCCCCGCCAGCACCTCCACCTCCTCCAAGAGCTGGCTGTACGTGATCTTCTGCTTCGATCCCGTGACGGGCGATTCCCAGATGATCGCGACATTATCGCCATTGCCAGCGAGAACGTGCCTGTCCACGCAGTTGTATGTCGTCGAGATCTCTCCGTCGGGGAACCAGGACCAGTGCTCATGGCTGACGCCGTTGGCGAGGTGTTTTGTCGAGCGATGCAGGCTTTTAGAGGGGGGTTTGTGCCAATGGAGGGCTTGGGCGTGGTGACTCCAGAAAGCCTCGGGGTCGCGGAGGGAGAGGGAGTGGGTTTTGTCCTGGGGATGGGAGGCCATTTTGGGTCTGATGTAGGACGGGACCTTTTGAGACCTTGTGGTATGTAGGTGTAGATGGAGTGTTTCCCAGAGGAACAACCGGAAAAGGCCCGTAGGCTAAGCAATGGGTATATGCCCTGGATCAACGTCTGAGGAGCTCCCAATTGAGCGTGTGGGCGTGGCCGGTGATAACTATCAGCTTGGACGTTGGGTTGCACGACGCTCCGTACTCTCAGCAGCAGACACAGCACGTATAGCCAGCCTCCACGACAAAGAAGCGATACTCAGGAGACCCAAGCTTCCCTACGTCCGTCCAAAGATGTCGTGAAGCAAAGCAAATGAAGAAAAGAAAGACCGCTGATCAAGGGGACATGGATTCTCGTTTTCAGTTAACTAACTAAAGTCCCCCAAAATCCTCGGCATTGAAAGTCGCGTGAAGGGAACCTGCAGCAGTCCCAGGCCCGTCCCTCTCAGCTCAATTTATATGCGCCTCCGTTCACTGTCGACGAGATTATCCCAGCGCATTTCTTCGGTTATTCGCAGTGTCGGACGAAAGGTAATGAAAGCGCTGCCGCGACTTTTTGACTGACAAGACAAACCAAGTCTCTTCGTTGGGCGGAAACGCCGAAGCCTAGGCCTAAGCTTGCAGCCCGTTGTCAGCTATGTACTCATTATCATGCTTGACAGATTTCGTTGCGTGGAGATGACTAGGAGTCTTCAAGGCGAAAAGATTCATGTAGTTTTATAGTTACACCGAAAAACCGACGGTGAATGTGGTCACTACTGGCCATTAATCTACTACTATTCTATCGCCTTATTCAATCATGCTTTCAGATGATAGATGGGCCCTTAGATGTGCGAGAATATATAGCCTAAAAAGGAACGCAGGTTATCCCGAACAATGCCGTAGATAGTATAACACTCCCTGGCTCTCTGCGATATACAGATCCTGGGTTGGGCCACCCCTTTGTTCATTTACCTTTATTGCCCTGTCAAAAACAGTCGCTACCATCGCAGAATCTCTCTGGCATGGCTGTGATTTTGAATCAAAATACACAGAGAAACAACTTCTATCTTGGCATAGCAAAAAAAACATCGGCCCCGAAGCCCCGTAGAAAAATAAACTGTCACAAGAAGCAGTAGGATCCAATAACACCTAGCTAAACAGAAAAGCATAGATATGGGGTGATTCCAGTATAAAAAAGAATGCATCATTCGTGTCCCAGAGTAAAACCGGTCATCGTTCAATTCGATCATTGCGTCCCAGAAATAGCTGAAATAAAAAAAAGTTAGATAGCGGGAAATTTGCTCAATACTGCGCCGTAGTAAATGCTGGAAACCGTACTGGGACGAAATCGTGGAGACAAGGCGATGCACATCCAAGATGGTATCGTAAAGCGAGTGAGGAGGGAAGAAGGGGAGGGGACGGGGGCGAGAAAGCGAGGGTTAACAGGAGAATAGTTGGTCTTTTCTTTTTCCCCTACGG